ATGAAAAAGTAAGTTGTGGGATTATGTCAAACGTAAAGGTGATCGCGCCATTTGCGATTTATGTAACGGTCAAGGTAACAATGAATATTCTTGTATAGGCAGCACTATAGGGTCTTTAATAAGACATTTAGAAAGTGTTCATGGTATTAAACCACCACAAGAATTTATAGAAAAGAGGAAATTAATAAAATATATTCTTAATTATTTATTCAAATAAATGTAAATTTTCTTAATTACTCGATGTCCTAAATATTGACCTCAAATATAAAATAATCAAATTCCGCTCAGATATTATATATGCAATATAGTAATATTGTTTAGGCTTAATAAAATCAAGCCAAATCGCGCTATCGCCGTATAAAAATTTATTAATAAAACATTTTCACAGTCAACGACGACAGTATATACACAAACACGTATACACACATTCATAACACATACTATTTTTTTTACATAATCTATTTGCTTAAATTTGTTTCATGAAGTTTTATATATATTAATTAACATTAAATTATTTACGTCATTATTTAAAACATTAGTTATTAATATTATTTACTAAACGTACCTAAACATTTGTACTTAATATTAGGCATAGTTTATCCATAGTCATTACATACGAGGACCGATGGCGAAGAACGTGATTGTGTAAATTCATGTATTCACGTGATTATATAAATTCACGGATTCACGTGAATAAAATTAAAAATACTCTTGAAATTTTAAGCAACGGGTTTTTTAAATAATCCTTAATTTCACGTGAACACGTGAATACGTATTAGCGTGAACTAAGGAGCTCTGGTAATACAGATACTGCACGGGCCATTAATTGGACTTAAGCTAGTTTTAAAGTTTAATCTCAATCCGACCAAATTCAATAAAAATATAAAATATAATTATAAATTCTAGGAAATCAGAAATGCTCCTGGTCAAGTTATACTATTAAAAATAGGTACTATATATTTCTTATGTACATTTTTTTTAAATATTACGAGTGCGTTTATATATAAAATGTATGAAGTACAACTAAGCGCTAAACACGTAAATGTAATTATTTTTATGAAGTTAGTTACAAAGTTAGATCACTGATTTTTTATCATCAATTAAAGGAAGAACGTAACGGCTCGGACTTGGATTAAAATATATGGTTGGATAGCTGAAACAAGCTCAATGTTTAACTTTGTTTTGTATCAAAAATGTGATAATTTTTTTATAATAATGTTTTTCTATTTTTATTGTAATAAGTTAACCCAATATAATTAATGTTTCAAATTTTGAGACAAAAATGTTATATATTTGTATCATAATGTTTATTATCGTATAATTATTTTTACTCTGACCTTCACTATTATATGTGTAATACGTTTTTTATTTCAGTGTTGAAAACCTTCAATTAGAAAATAATAAAATAGTCAAAATAATGCCCCAGTACTTACATATTTTATATGAAATTTAAAAAAATTGGGTGATTGATAACAGTCGTTATTTTGACAGCAAATTATAATCGAACGACTCAGTTATTTATTAGAAGTTTATAATTTATTAGAGTTTGAATTTAAATTACAATTATTTATTATAGCTGATTATTTTTAGTAAATTATGAAACCTCAAAATCCAACTGATCGTAGTTATCAAATGTAATAATTATGATTATTAAACAAAATCATTAAATAGTTAAGGATAATATTATGTTATAGAATAATAATAATCATTCATATACACAAAATAAATGAAAAAATACCTATACAATTACAAGTCCTACATTAAGTGAATGGGAAACTGTTACCAATACAACTTTTAGTTTGATTAGTTTGAAAAACTGTTATTAATTTGCAAAGTGATTTATAAAATGTATAATACATTTCTCTCGATTGCAGAAAAATATCTAATTCGTGATGTACATTAGTACAGAAATGTACGTCTTGACACATTTTTTTCAAATAAAAGCCATGACCCTATGGGAGAAATTGTTACTAGGTTTTTCACCTGTAATTTAAAAATGGACATTTTCCTCAGTACACTTGTACATTATTTAATTTCTAGGAATAATTTAATATTGACGCAATTTTTTACATCAGCGTTTCTAAATTTTTTTTATCCGTAGAACTCTTTTTGATGTCTACTATATACATACATTTACTAAAACACAGTTATTATTTTATGAGGTACAACAAAAAATTAATACAATTCGATATTCCATAATCAAATCCTGTTATTTTTACCATTTTTTCCCCAATTTTCAAACTTGTATTATATTATCATTTATAAATATATATATATATGGTATATTTTATCTTAATTTTTCTTTTACGAATTGTAAGACTAAAAAAGAAAATGTGCTAACATAGTATTGAATTTAAATAGTATATAAATATTTTTTTCAAAACCACTTATTACTACATAGAGTACAAAAATATTATTAGACAAAAAAAACATAAAAACAGTATTGTTTTTCGATGAAAAATTGTCTTCTCCACTGTTTGAATCCTTCTACTTATGCTTGTTACGGTAAAGTGAAATGATTTTTCGATTTTAAACTCGAATTTATCACACCGGGGAATTACTTCTCATAAGTCCATCACACAGTTCTTAATTTCAATTATTTCTCCGAAAAAATTTTTTGGCCCCATGATTGAACCTGAAATGTCCGCACGGTACATACATATCGACTGTTCCAACGAAAAAAGTGGTACCTTGACTATTTTCAATATTAAATTAGTACTGTCATCTAGTGGAGTATTTCTTACTATATCTCTTACGAAAACGGTTGTATCATTGATTATAGAATAAACAGATAGGCCATGCTGTACAAAATATTGGGGACTATTCCACGCTTGCAACCACTATGGAGCGCTGTAATCGTGCTGTCAACGGTAGAGGTACCACCTCTCCATAGATATCTTTGACGAGGTAAGCAGTGCCGCTAGGGTTATTTATAAATTGTATTTATAGTTATTCTTATAATTTTTGCAATATTGGTTTATCAATTATCATTGTGGCATTATATAATCAACGCTACAAATAACAATGATTGATACAGCCACCACGTCTTGTTGTAACATTTCTGTTTTTCTTTCTATTAAAATAATTCAAATTTGTAAAACCATGCCTGGAAACAAATGTCAATATTTGAATTGTTTAAAAACGACAGTTAAATATCCTGGCCTACGAATATTCAGATTTCCCAAAGATTCAAGAAGTGAAATTTGGGTTATTCTGGTAATTAAGTATACTTACAATTTAATTTAATAATTGAGATCATTGGAAACAAACTTTATAATATACATAATATATCATGTATAGTATAAAATATTTTAAATTATAATAGTTTAAATTAAGACTCAGATGTATAAAAATAATTAGATTATTACCTCGATTATTACATAAATAATATGTTGGTGATTATTTACTTATAAGTACATATTTTACACAATATTTAAGCTTTTTTAACCCGTCATTGGTATCAATTACGTAAAATAACAATTTAGGCTTCAACGATTTTTGATGTTTGACCTTATTCAAAAAGTATAAGTCGCAGAAACTTGAAATTTTCACCAGCTGTTTAAAGTAACAATTTCTTCACATATTTTATTAATTTTTAAGCCATTTTTAGGCATTTGAAATATTCGATTTTAGATTCTGAACAGAGTGAAGATATTTTACTACAATATGTGTTTTTTTTTTTTTTTTGGGTTTGTTTAATTTTTGTGTCTGTGTACACCTTAACTAGTCGAAATAGTGCTTCAATTTTTGAACTTCAGAGGTGGTTTCCAGTAGCAAATAGAATATCCGAGGTACTTTATAGAGGTCAAAAGTTAAACCTTTGAAAAGTTTTCAAATGCGCCGTGAAGAACCCCTCAAAAGTTAGGGAAAAACGGTAATTTTTGTGCAAAACTATAGTTTTCGACAAAATCGATTTTTTTTGTTCGCTGTTACTCAAAAACCAAAAATAGTAGATACTTGAAATTTTACCAAATATTTATATTGAAATAATCTATACATGTTAAAATTGTTGAAAAGTTTCGACTTTTATTGAGCTTTTTATAGACAATTGAAATTTTTAACTTTTCTTAGTTTTTTTCTTCTTTTTTAAAATGTCGATAACAAAAATTTGGCTTGCTAAAAAATCATTAGGTATTCAAAACTAAAAATTGAAAAGGCTGACATATCACCTCCATTCAGAATCGTTTTTTTTTTTTATAATATAAAATAATCCCAAAATCAATCCAAAATTTCTAACCTATCAATACCTCTCGTGTATCCCACTCAACTCCTGTATCAGCTCTTTTTTTTTTTAAATATGTGAAATTAAAGAAACTTTAAAGTATCACTTAGTTTCTTATGAATAAGAATGATTTCAATCGTAAAAATTTCTTATCGAATCTTAAATTCTTTTTTTAATAAAAATATGCATTTACATATAAATCCTACTAATAAATATAGACCATTAAAACTAGCCCCAAATAACTTATATTTTACCGTTTTACAAAAATTATTCTTACTGTTCTTCTATATTATAAATATTTCAAGCAATAAAAATGAAATACTACATACTACATTATTACATTTTTGGAAACAAGTCAATAAAGATATAAATAGTATGAAAGGAATCACATAATATTTAAACGAGTGGTTATCAAAATAGTAACAAGGTAAACACCGCCATACCAAGTACAGATTAATTGAATAAACATCTGAGCTCTAGTTTTTTGGAAATAACGCTAAAAAAAAATTTAAGTTTTGAGACTTGTTTTATTTTCTATTAATACAGTTTTCTCTGTATTTATATAAAGGAAATCATAGTTTGTTAGCATTTGATGTAAACAAGTAACACAATAAATATCTGTGTCAGGACCACTTCAGTTTGAATGATTTCAAGCATGAAAATATAAAATCATTGAAACCGACAGCTGTACCATACAGATATAATATGGAATCTGAAGAAGCACCGTCACATCGACTGGTGTTGGCCAATAACAATTCCTAACTCCGACTAAAATGTATCATAAACCTAGAGCTTCAGATACAGTAGGATTAGTATTTCCTAGTCCTTCTTCAATTATTTCTACACTGCAAAAAAAAAAATCAAATTTAATTCAAATGCCTAGTCTAAATTAAAAAAAAAAATTAGATTATGTGCTTCGCCCAGAAAAATTAAATTAAAACAAAAAATAGAAAAAAAATCAAAATTAATTCACAATAAAAATACCCTTGTCTTAAAATTAAAAAAATCTGTTTCTAAACACAAAACTCGTAATTATTTAAATAACTTAATGTCTACTTTTAAGTTTCCATCGTAAAACTCAAAAGCTATGGTAACCATGCAATTAAAAAATAAACGTCGTACATAGACAAATGATGAAAAAAAGCTATCTTTAAATTTATTTTATAAATCACCTACCACGTATAACTTTTTACGACTGCAAAAAGTCAATTTGCCCGCTTCTTCAACCATTAGACGCTGGATTGGTTAGGTAATCAAAATTTTTACCAGGTATCGATAATATATTTTTTATCTTGTCGAAAGAAGTTTCAGCACAAATTTTACAAAAAAAAAGCATGTACAGTTTGTTTTGACGAGATGTACATAAAATAATCCTCCTCTATTTTTTTACATCAATTAATATGGAATAAAAATATTTATGACTGTAGCTTAGTTCACTTTATGTAATAAAGAATATTATCATTCAGTAGCGTACCTAACTAAGATTTTAAAATGGAGTGGGCCAAACCCAAAATACTAAAAGAACATAATCAACAATTAACAATAAGTTTGTTAATATAGTAATTTTTATATTAAGATTTTCGTATTTAATATATTTTATTTCATTATAATTACATTTCAATTTATTAGTTTAATTATTTTGACTAATCAAACAATAAAAGACAATAAAATGTTTTCATTATTTATTTCTACCAAAAATCAAAATAAAAAATTGATTGTAGTTAACGCAAGCTTCTTTTTTTCATATTAGTTTTCTTTTGAATTGAGGACCCTAAATCACGAGGGCCTCGGTGCGTCGCATCTACTGCACTACTGCTACGCCGCTGTGTAACACGATTATTGATTAATAATTTAACGATGAAACAATAAGTATTGTTATACAACTTACCAAGTCAATAATAATATTATTGATTTCATTTTTAACTTTTTCAACATAATCCTTGTGGCCTTTAATCAAAACTTGACTTGAATTGGAA